CTCCTTCAGGGAACGAGGGTTACACAAGTAACCGAGACGTTTCTGAGAGCAGAGAATCTTCAGGACTTTACCTTTGTCAGAGATCTTTTTAAACTCCTCTTTGCAGAAATCCTCCATTTTTTCTTTCAGCTGACAGAGAGATTCTCTCATGCCATCAAAAGAGAAGACAGAATTGAAAGGATTGTCAATTACGTCTGTAGATTCAGGAGGCGCTGAGAGAGACTGGAAACTCTACAGAAAACAAATAATAAATCATCACATTCACACTTCAATCAATAACCTGCACTACTACTAAAGATTTGTTGATTTCCCTGGCCACGTGTCATGCTTGTCACGTGATACACCACAGCCACTATAGCTCTGTATGAGTGATGCATCGTTTTTATTTCTTTTTTTTTTTAATTCAAAATATTCACAAATGTGTTAACTATATTATGAAATGTCTAATATTCCTATTCTCAAATATGTGCAAGTAAATGCATGTGGTTATTTAAACACCTTTATAATGGTCATGTTAGTTGATCTACAATGGGCAATGGGTGCCACCACGTTAGTTTGCGCTGAATGAGCTGTCAGATTTACAACACATAAATTCATCCTTTCCACCTAAAACCATGAAAGTATTTGGTTTTGGCGGAATTGATCTGCAATCCTGCTGCTGGCCAAGAAAGAATAGCTTTCCTACTGCATACAGTACTAGCAGTAGCTTAGAATGTAGCAAGATCAATGTTTCAGTAACTCTGAACTGTGAGCAGAAAACACAGAGACAATCAATCATGAGTACAAGGGGTTTAATAAATGAAACTACGGCTAGCATACAACTAAACTAAGTAAAACACATATATACACAATTAAGCAACGTAAGGAAAGAGAGAAAAGAACAAAAGATAAACTGCTGGAAGATCAGACTCAAAAGGGATGAGTTATGGAGAGCGTCTGTCTCAAAGGGTTTGAGCCATGATTGGTTTAGGTTAGGATCTTTCCACTCTGCTACCGGTCACACCCCTTCTTGGTGGACTGACCAATTCAGAGGTGTGAATTTTGAGTGTGAAAATGTTTCTTTGTCTCACCCGACACCTTGTATGCATGTCTATGGGGGCCTGGAGGATTTGTGCAGTATTAACCAGAAATGTGTACACTGCTTTTCGGATGTTCATTGAAGTTTTCTGTGTCTCTTGAAATGTGTCCATTTCGAATCATTGTTACCAAAGGCGAGACACGTGAAAAAAAAAAAACAGTTGTGGGACTATATTCAGTCAGAAATCACATACTGTTCATTCCTGAACTTTTTACTATTCGTTATTTATTATAAAGTTACTGGTTGACATGGCCCGATCTCAATAAAGTTTACTCAACGTCACACTTTTGGTTCGTGAACTGGATCTTGCTGTGAATGCACGCTGTCATGTGAAGGCTTGGCCAGACCCGGTTCCAGAATTAAATCACTGACAGTGCTCACATCTATTTATCTAGCGCGCTCGCTTTATTATGACTAAAAAGCCATCACTCATCTTAGTTGATCGCGATCTCACAAAGTTCCGATATAATCAATGAAGCTCTCTAAACTGCACAATGAATCTCTTCATTTACATCGCGTCTGCACTTTGTTACTTATGAGGTGATTCACGAGCGTGCAAAACTGCACTTAATAAAAACTCTGTCAAACTAAAACGTTTCTGAATGGGCATTGGGTTCCAAAAAATCAACAGGTATGTCTGTGATTAGCTAAATTGCTCAATGCTGCAAAAACCTGTTGTAAACAGTAACTTTGACGCTGTCCAGAGCAAAAACGCGAATACGCACAGGAGAGTTTGACAGATCTTCAATTGCTTTTGCTTTCGTTTGAGGGTTTTTAGCGCCTGGGCTAACTGCTAAGGGTTTTAACTGCCCCCCTCCCCCCTAATGTCACCCATGATTGCAGTCAACGGCTCATCCTGCTCTCATTAAATATTTCTCTCTGAGTCTCTGTCACATCAGGATCTTGCTCAAGTCCACTATGAACCTTTCTTCTAGATCTGTGTTACCTGCAGGAACAGGATGTGATCCTGTGTGTGTGAAAGATGCTCCAGCTCAGCGTCTCTCCTCCTCAGATCATTGATCTCCTGCTCCAGTCGCTCCAGTTGTTCTTCAGCTCGACTCACTGCAGTCTTTTCCTGATCTCTGATCATCTGTGTGACCTCAGTGCGGCGTCTTTCAGTGGAGCAGATGATCTCAGTGAAGATCCTCTCACTGTCTTCCACTGCTGTCTGTGCAGAGCGCTGTTGGACACACATAAAAATCACAGTGGCTTCAGTGGGGCTGAAAGAAGAGAATTCTGAGACGGAGACAGACTTCTCTTCTTCTCCAGACTCACCTTATGAGACTGCACAGCCTTTCTCAGCTGCCGAAGATCTTTCTTTCTCTGCTGGATTCTCTGCTGAAACTGCTTCTGCATCTCCTTCAGCTGCTTCTGGAGAACAAACCAATAACAGGAAACATAAGAATACATGAACAATGCTACATAAAACTATTTATCATGTGAACAATTGATATGAATCCAATATCTGTGAAATGGTGTGCTGAAGTGGTTAAGTATCTAGCGTGGTGGGATTATAGGTTCAATCCACAGATTAGTTTTCTGAAAAGAGATTATAACTGAACTATGGCAGATGGACAGTGACTGAAGCAAGGAAACGGGTATGAAAGTCTGTGAAAATCCCACTGATGGGAGACAACAGATCCATTAAGAAAAGTATTTGCATGTCAATGAGTGAAACTTTAGCTCGATAACCTCAAGCAGAAGGTGAAGTGCTGCAGGGCTTTTGAAGAATCTGCATGTCCACATTATTTATTAAATGTGTAGTTTTAAAGGAATAGTTCACCAAACAAACAAACAAATAAATAAATTCTACCATTCAGTTTTCCTTATGTTGTTTTTCAGCCTGTATAACAAATAAATTGATGAATAATGTCAAATTATGTATTATGTCTCTTACGTAACAAACATATTGATGTCAATAACATCCAACCTCACTGGTTCATGCATGTACTGCCTCACTGGCTCATATGACTAAATGTCACCTTTTTTTAATTTGGGGTCTGTATACATGAACTAATAAAATATTTGATTTGGTAGTGAGCCCTGCTGAAAAATCAAGCATAAACCAGCATGAATTCCATGCTGGTCCTTGCTGGTTAGTGTTTGTATAGTGCTTATATAGTGCTGGTATAGCTAGAGGAACAGCATAGTCATGCTGTTCATAAGCAAAATAGAGCTGGTGAAGCTGATGCACCAGCATGTTCTTGCAGGATTGAGTGCGAGTAGGCCATAATAAGTGAAGATGCTGAGGATAATCTAATGGCACTTTTCCACTGCGTGGTACAACTCGGCTCGGTTTGCTTTTCCACTGCAGTTTAATACCGCTTCAAAGTGATTAGGATTATAGACTGATTGTTTTAGTTGTGCCGCCACCTCGTCCACTGACTACGATACAGCCATTTCTTTTTTTTCAAATTGCGTGCAATGGTCGTTCAAAGCAAGTCGTACAAAAAAGTTGAAAGCAAAAAAATTATACTGCGGTGGCTGCTGCTGCCTATTTAAATCTAGCGGGTTTGGTGTCTCGTGTCGCAAATCCAATGATGCTTGTAGTGATGATTCTCTCTGACCAATCAGTGATCTGCAGTTTTTACATGTCACATTTTAGTATTGGTACGGCTCGCCTGGAACCTCAACCGAGGTGGTACTAAAAAAAGTACTAGGTACTAGGTTCTGTACACAGTGGGTTCTCTGTTCTTCTTGTTTCTCTTATCTTCAGTGATTCTGCTTATTACCTTCAGGTCTCATCATTAATGGTCAATCATCACTTGTAGAGTGAATCTACTTTATTTCATGATCTGCAACACTATTTCAGTGTTACTTTTACTCTCTATAGATAGGGACCATATGAAAACTGAGCAGTTATGTGGGAGCTCAGTTTTCTTCTGTCATTTGACCAAAATCTCATGTTATAAAAGACGACGCGCTAAACACAGTGTATTTCAGACAGTTTTGGATATGACTCAATGGCAAATGCTAGACTAAGACACTCTTATCCGCTCCTTAAATACATAAAACATTAGCCTTGAGTAAAGAAAACACTGTACTTATTCAAACAAACAGGGAGTTATGAGGGTTTATCAACAGTTTGAGTATCCAATGGAGTTATGAGATTTAATCACAGACTCTTTTTAATACCTTTCATTGGTTAAATGTTTGCAAAAAACACAAACAGGCATAAAGGGTGACCAATAGTAATGATTTATGAAAAAAATAATAATGACGAAATTACTTCAGAATACTTGCATAGATCACTTTTGGGCTACCTTGAAATCCTTTTTGTAGAATTAATCTTTTGAACCCCATTCAGTGTATTAACAGATGAACATTCTTCAAAATATCTTCCTCAGGAAAAAGAAAGCCATACAATTTTGGCATGACAGGAAGAATAAATCATTTCTGGATAAACTACTGCTTTAAATTCATACCTGTTTCTCTGTCCTCTGTGCTGCAGCTGATACAGTGTTGTGGTTTTTATGTTCATCCATCGTACACAGCACACATATACATTTCTGATCAGTGCGACAGAAAACCTCAAGGAGCTTCTCATGTTTCTGGCAGATCATCTCCTGCAGTCGTCCAGTGGCTTCAATCACTTTGTGTGGCTTACGTGAATGAAATGTGCGACAGCTGATACAGTGTGGTGGTTTTTATGTTCATCTATTGCACACAGCACGCATATATATTTGTGGTCAGTAAGACAGAAAACCTCAAGAAGCTTCTCATGTTTCTGGCAGATCATCTCCTGCAGTCGTCCAGTGGCATCAGTCAAATTGTGTCCCTTTCCTTTAAAGAAACTCTCATGTTGCTCGAGGTGATTCTGACAGTAAGAGTTCAGACACACAAGACAGGACTTGACGGCTTTGTATTTTCTACTGGATCCTTCAGGAGATCCAGACACACTGGACACATGAACTCATTTTGATCCACTGAAATTCTGGCTTCTGCCATTTTACTGCAAGAATACAGAGAGACACACAAACACACAACAGCTCAACTAAAGTTAGTTTCTCTTTACCTGTTTCCTGGTTCTATGTTTGAGTGACGTGAATAAAACAGGCAGGGTTGCCATGTCCCAGAAAAATGTACAGCCAAAAGCTGACTCATACCCCGTCCAAAAGGAATGAAATCCAGCCCAATTTTCCCACTGTCCCATCACAGTTCACAGCTATGGGATCCCATAAATGGCCTTAGAACAAATAAAATCAAAATGATTTAAAGTTTATGTTTCATTCTTGATTTTATCTAGGCTTGTTTAAATGACGTATGGATATATTTAATTATTAGGGACCGAGAACCAATGGTGTGAAGACCCTCTTGGAATTGCTCTGTTTATTATTTATTATATTTATTTTCTGACTCTCCGGGGCATTTTGGGGCCCTTAACATGCTCAAAAACTCTTGAAACTTAGCACACACATTGGAATCTGTGGCCATCAGGGCCAGGGCAGAAGGTCACGTGGGAGGGTCACCGGGAGGGCCTGTGGCACAGCCTTTCATTGGAATTTTTTTTTGACTTGATCTTACCTTTACTGCTTTATAAGAATAAACACTATAATATATACTATATATATATAAACTCTATAAAGCTGTTAAAGGTATACAAACAAATATGAAAAAATGTTTCACAAACAGCTTGGTCTCTTTTAAGGTAAGGAGCCAGATTTTGATGTAACAAGCTACTGATATGGACTCCTCATAAAATATTTAATGCTGAACTAAATTAACAAATACATGGCATAAACACATGGCATTACAGATACAAACCACTTGTTTAGTTCTTGTAAATTTCCAGTAAGGTTCCATCATATATTTTCTTTAGGACAGCTAAAGCTGTAGGCTCCTGCTCACAAAAACCCCTGCAAGTTTCAACAGTATTCCGATCTACACCAAGCCATGCTTAAAGGGGTAATTGATTATGATTTCACTTTTTTAACTTTAGTTAGTGTGTAATGTTGCTGTCTGAGCATAAACAACATCTGCAAAGTTATGATGCTCAAAGTTCAGTGCAAAGGGAGATGGTCTTTTAGAGAATTCGCTTTTTAAAGAGCAGGTCATATGGTATTTTAAAGTGTACTAATATTGTGTTGGAGGTCAGAATGCATTGTAATTTTCTCAGAATATACATTTAATATTAGAATCATTTTTCAATGATTTCGAAACGATTCGTTCGAAGCAGACTCATCCCTTCCGTAAGCCTACTCTGCTCTGATTTGTCAGCTGGCCAAGTCTGTTGTGATTGGTCTTTCCATATACAATGCGTGTCGGAAACAAAACGACCATTACCATAATTAATTTTTTGCTCCGGAGGGTTACTTGTAAACAAAGATGCTATAAGTTTACAAAAATGGCATAGATATTTTGATACTGATATAAGATGATACCGATGCAGTCGCTCAAACTGAAACTCCATCGCAAGCACGACTTGATCAGGACGTTTCTCCTCCATGGCAAGCAGGATTTGATTAGGACGTTTCTCAGTGGTAAGTTTAAACTTTGTATGTGGTACTTTACTTGATGTGACAGCAGTTTTATTGCATTCATTATTATTATTATTATTATTTACTTATTTGAGTTGCACGTGTGGGAACTGTGTTAGAATGCCCAGTGAGGCTGAAAACACAGCGTCTTCTTGACATGATGTAAACACACTAACTAGCAGAAATGTTTGTGGGCAGGTCAGTGTTCGTATTTCGTGGGCAGGTGGGGATTATGCAAATGTGTGTGTGTGTTAACTTGTGACATATATAGGTAACAGGCAGAAGATTAGAAAATATGATGAAAGTTGAGACAGCGCGCACATCAAGTAGGTGGTACTGCACCTGTGTCGAGCTCGTCCGTCCACACTCATCCGCAATTGAGTATACTTTGCGTACTATACGCGGAAAGTGAAGTATACCCGGGCCTTAAGGAGAAATGTCTGATAGGACGATGGCGAATGATTTGCAG